CTTCTTCTTCTTTTCTTCTCCCCCTTCCTCTTCTTCTTCTTCTTTCCCTTCTTCTTCTTCTTCTTATTTCTCCTCCTCTCCTTCTTCTTCTTCTTCTTCTGCCTCTCCTTCTTCTTCTTTCCCTTCTTCCTCTCCTTCTTCTTCTTCTTTCCCTTCTTCTCCTTCTTCTTCTTCTTCTTCTTCTTCAGCGCGATAAAGCAGACGATGAAGTCTAAAACCAAGTTGGCTGGAACAGAACGTCGCACTAAAGCGACCAGTCAGACGAACTCCTCACTCTACATGACGCTGACATGTTTTCTATCAAGACAAAAGTATTTGCTTTTGCGTCTATGCCGCTGTTAAGAGCAGTGTAGCTCATAATAAGAGCACTGCAGATGAAAGCCTACATAAGAAATATATTTTATTCATATTTATGCTATTAAGCCAACTTCAGAGAACGGAGTCCTTCTTGAGAAGCTAACAATCGCTCAAGAAGTCAAGAAATTCTTATCCTGTTATGGAACTCGAAACATCATTATCGTGTTATAAACGCCCACCACTTGACCCTGTCGGAGTCAGATGAATAGAGTCCATTTCGTCACACATTATTTCCATTTTAATATTATGATTCCATCTGCTCCCAGGTTTCCAAAGTAACTCCCTCAGCTGGTAGTCCGACTGTAACTTCGCCCAACTCGTTCGAATTTATTTCACTAACCTGATGGTTATTGGTGAAAGGTAGGAATTATGAATCTTCTCATCACGTAATTGTCTCCATTCTCTTAGCTTCAAACGTTCTTTTCATCACTTTGTCGTCAACATTGACAGTCTACGTTCTTCTACGATGAGAGACGAAGTTTCATACTTTTACTAAACAACGGGTAGAAATATATTTTTATATTTTTGTTTGTATACAGGAGACAGACGTTTTACTGCATTTGACTTCATCGTAATTTCTTTGTGAATTTAATTTTAATTCCTTGCTGTCTTTACCAATAGGAATTTAAGGTTACGTTAAATTAAAATGATTGTTGTTCTACGTAACATTAATTTCTGTCTACAGTTGCTAACATAAGGGCTGTAGTCTTTGTTGATTTATTTATTGGTGAGTTTGAATTTGCTGCATGTACTGGCTACTTTTGGCTATAATAAATAAATATTTATAAACCAGTTTAAAAACTAAACTTTCGAAAGTAATATAGCAAATAACCTAATGGATATTTTTGTACAGAAGTTTCTTCAGTGACAAATGCTTGCACAGGATGTGCTATTTAAAAAAAACATAACCTGACAACAAGTACGATACAAAAATTGAATCAGAAGCAGGTCTCCCAGCTTCCCCGCTGACATTCGATTCAAGGTCACCCTTGTTATTTGGTCGCTGCTTATGCGAGTTGCGCGAAAGTTTGTGCGCGTGCAAACTACCATTTTGTACTCAGGATGGTATCGTGTTATAATTCTCGAACGTTATTTCCAATTAAAATAGTTTTGCTGTTCGTGGAATATTTAACAATGCGTGTCGTGACAAGGAAGTGCCTAATTAGACAACAATACAATGATTTATAACAAGATTTCGGGCGCTTGCTTGTATTCGAGAAGATGGTGGATATTTTCATCACGTGCTGAAAAATTATTTTGTAAGTTGTTCCTCACAAATAAATACTAAAAGTAACTCGTTTATCTTGTTGTATTGATGTCACCACAGCTTACCAATACTATAGTACAGGTAGACCTCGATTTGCGCCGGTTCAATTTGCGCCGATTCAGAATAACGCCGATTTTGAAACCAGAAAGTCAAAAAGGAAAAAATATATTTTAATATTATTTATAACGTTTTACAATGTTTCTCGTACTAAATCGTAATTCTTATATCGCTGATTTTGAATAAAGATTATAAATACAGTCATCTCTGCAATTACGAATATTTCGTTGACGCGAATTTGCTCCAATGAGATCGATGAATCGGTAAAAGCTGTTTAGGAAATGCAAACTTTTGCACTAGATGGGGGTGAGTGGTCAGCTTTACCCCCGGGAAAGGACCCCGGTAGCCATTGGATAGGAGGCTTGG